GAGCTCTGGGGCTTGTTTCTGACAGCTGCCTGTTCTTTCTCCCGTGGTTTTCCTCTCCCAGCCCATGCACAGCTTTGGCAGGTCCCAGCTGGGCTGCCTCCCTGCTCTGCTCTTTCCATCCTAGTCACGGCAAAGGTGGATTCCTTTGCTGCTGCTGCCGTGGCCAGCGCTGAGGGCAGTGTGGGAATAATTAGATATTGGGAAGAAATTCTTCCCTGTGAGGGTGGTGAGGCCCTGGCACCAGTTTGTCCAGAAAAGCTGTGGCTGTGCCATCCCTGGAAGTGTTCAAGGCCAGGTTCAGTGGGGCTTGGAGCAACCTGGGCCGGTGGAAGGTGTCCCTGCCCATGGCAGGGTGGGTGGAATGTGATGGGGTTTAAGGTCCCTTCCAAGCCAGACCATTCTGGAATTCTGTGATAATTCTTCCATGCCCCTTCTGCTGCCTTCTCCCTAACTTAATACAGATCATATTTGCTCCTTCTTGATGCTGAGCCTATAATGTTGACTGTATCTGCCTTGTGTTAAACTGGAGCCTGCCCTGAGAGAGGTGGCGTGGGGCTGAGGGATCTCTGACCTGGAATCTGGGTGCAGCTTAGCTTGATACTGCTGATACCAGCCTGACTCTGTACCCAAACTCTTCCCGAATTTCTCTGGGACGTGTTGCCAGTGGACAGTGCTTCAAAAAAACAAGCAGAGAGAGTTTTACCCTCACCCTTTCTCAGTGACATTGTACAGAAGGGTGAGCCCAGGCTTCTGGAGTAGGTCCAGCAGCCTCGTGTCAGCAGCTGTGCCCTGCAGGGAAAGCACAGCCTTTCCTTTTGCCTTGCTGCCTTGGCCACAGATCAGATTCTGGAGTTACGGAGAACAGGGAAAAGGTTAACAGCTCGTGGTTGTTCTGAGGGGAAGCCTTCAGGTGAGCAGTGAAGCTGCTGTCTATTTTTGCCCACTGCCTGCAGAAGGGCTTGTGGGCAGAGATGTCCTCGGCCTCCCTCCCTGCTGCCTGAGTCACGGGGGATGGGGAGGGGACACTCTGGGTTTAGTCTGGCTAGGAGAGCCTGCCTGTAGCTTTCTGCTCCGTTTCCTCCCGCCAGACAGCTCGTATATTTTTGGCTGCAGTGCATGGTGTGCCTTTCTGCTTCCCTGTGACGAGTGAGAAGCTGTGCAGCACATCAGATGGGATGGTTTGGCTCACTTGATTCCCACTCTCCCAGTGGCTCATGGCATGTTTGGTTTAGCAGTTGGAAAGATTCCTTTCTCCAGCACCCAAGAGGGTTTTTTGAGTAAGGTGTCTTGGTATTTTCACCCACAGCCAAGTGCTGGTAATTCCCAGCATCCTCTTTGCCCCTTCCCTTCAACAACCCTTAATTTCCTCCTTTCTGTAGCTCTAACTTAGAATCATGGAATCACAGACTGGTTTGGGTTGGAAGGACCATCTCGTTCCACCCCCCTGTCGTGGGACACCTTCCACTATCCCAGGTTGCTCCAAACCCCATCCAACCTGGCCTTGCACACTTCCAGGGGTGGGGCAGCCACAGCTGCTCTGGGAAGTCTGTGCCAGGGCCTCACCAACTTCTTCCTTTCCTTCCTCTTCCTTCCCTTCCCAATGCTGACATCCTTGTCAGGGTGACACATCCAGGCTCCAGACCTGCCAGCTGATCTCTTCCAATTTAGCTGTTCCAGCCTATCTTTACCCACTTGGCTGAATTTTGAGAAGGTGCTTGTGGAAGTCACCGGTGGCGCCAAGGGTATTGATTTTCCTGCTTAAGCGAAGTGGTCCAGGACTAGAATGTGGGTGGGATGAACACGATCCTTATCTAAAAATAACAGTGGAAACTCTCCCCCAAAACGAGGGCCTGGATGAGCTCTGGGTTCCTGTTTTCACAGCTGTTTGGTTTTGTACTTCCCTGTAACCTTTCCCTAAAGCTCTTGTGCAACAGTGGGTGCCTCTTCCTCCACTGCTCCATCCCATCTCGTGCTGGAATGCTGTCCATGCTCACCCCGCTCTCCTCTCCCTCGCAGCGGATGGATCGCGGCGCTGTCAGAGGTGCACAGGAACCTGGCCGTGGCCATTATCATGATGGTGGTGGCAGCGTTCTTCACGCTCTGTGCTGTTCTCTCCCTCTTCCTCCTGAAGCAGGTGAGTGGCTTGGAGGGGAGGAGGTCAGGCTGCTCCCAGGATACCCTGGGTTTTCTGCCTCCTTTCACCTGTCGGGGAATGAAGATGGAATCGGGGCACTGGCAGGTCAAGAGATTTATACAAAAGTATTTTTGCTTGTGCTTCCTGCATTGATGCCAAATTTCTTGAACACTTGAGGTAGGAAAGTAGGCTCCCTTTAGATTCACAGAATCACTGAATGGTTTGATTTGGAAGGGGCCTTAAAGCTCATCTTGTTCCACTCCCTTTCATGGGCAGGGATACCTTTCTCTAGCCCAGGTTGCTCCAAGACCGATCCAACCTGGCCTTGAACACTTCCAGGGATGGGGTAGCCACAGCTTCTCTGGGCAACCTATGCCAGAACCACATCACCCTCAAAGGAAATAATTTCTTCCTAATATCCAATCTAAACCTGCTTTCAGTTTAAAACCATTCCCCCTTGTCCTGCCTGGACCTGGCTGAGCAGAGGTGGCCATAACTCTGTTCAGTATCCAGGGCCTTAAAATCACTGCTCACTGTTGTGGTGAGGCTCTTCAAAGCCTGTTGGGATCCCACTGAATGACTTCATGCTGGCTTCTAAACACAACTCTCCTTCCTTCTCCTGCCTGACCACACAAGGACTGGATTTCTGCAGGAACAGCAGAAATGGAGGTTTGGGGAAGGCAAGGACAGGCTGGACTGATCCTGTTTCTGTTGCTGCTGATTCTTTTCTCCTACATTTGTCTGGAAGGAAATACCCTGATGCTTGTTGGCACCTTCAGGTCCTGCCCTCCAGTAAATGCCAGGTTAAGTCTGTGCCATTATGGTGTGGGGAGCGTAGTTTTGGGTCTGAAACCAGCAATTTTGCTGAGAACTCCATATTTTACAGCAGATGAGGGCCTCCTGAAATCGGCAGCATCCCATGCTGGGAGCAGTGGAGCCCCTGGCTGTCAAGGGAGCTGGTTAGTAGCGGAGCCAAGGGAAAGCAAGGTGTATGCAGCAATTGCACAGCTACACCCTGACTTTATTAATTTTTTCCCTCTCCTTTTGTTCCCAGGTGCATTCCCTGTATCGGCGCACGGGAGCCAGTTTCCAAAGGGCCCAGGAAGAGTTTTCCCAAGGCATCCTCAGCAACAGGAGCTTCCAGAATGCAGCGGCCGGGGCAGCGTCCTCAGCTGCACAGAGTGCTTTCCGGGGAAACTAGCCCTTCCCAGCAAAACTAGCCCTTCCCGGGCTGCCTCCCCCTTGTTTTCTCTGCCCTTATCACTCCTTTTTTTTTTTTCCCTAAAAATGCACTTTTTGGGGGTACCATGTGAGCTCTGTGATGCCGACTCCTGATGAGAAGAGGTTTTTTTAGCTTCAGCTGAGCTACGGTTTTGATGATTAGTTTTCCCTGTCTTATTTTAGGGTGTGGGGAGATGGGGGAGACATTCTCTGAAGTAAATATATTTCTCTATCCAGGACCTACCAGGTGTTTGTCTCTTCCTCCCCTCACTCTGTCTGTAGCAGGAAGACAAGGGGAAGCAGGTTTTTGATTTTACTCTCTCTCTTCTCTGGGCCTTTGCTACGAAGAATTTGATTATCTGATGTTTTGGGGGGGTTTTGTAATGTGCATGTAGTTTGTCATTAATTTTAAGAACAGAAACTGTACTTTTGGTTTATTACACTCACACGATGCTGTATTTTGACCTCGTAACTGCTTGGCTTTCTGAGAGTTGGGATAACGTGGCATGAAGGAAAATCTGGGAGCAGTGGGGGGAGTGTGGAAGGATGTATTTCTCCTTGTCCCCCTGTGGCAGATCCATTGCTTCCACAAGGATCCTACAGGCAACAGCTCTGGACACAGAGAGGAGGAGAAGGGATCAGTGGGGGCTGAGTCTTCTCTGTGAAAGCAGGGGAGGGAGGAGAAAAAGGGATTTTGGTTTGACTCCCAGCTCTAAGTTTGGAGCAGCAGGAGCTCTGAAGACACTGGTTCAGCCACCACGCGGTGCCTGCAACGTCCTTCTCCAGCTAACCTTGAATTAATCTTTCTCCAGGGAAGACTCCTCCCTGCCTCCTTCCTCCCAAGTTAAATTTTTTTTTCCAGCTGGGAAGGAACTGGTTTCATGTGTGTTCAGCTGCATCCCAAGATGGGACGTCCCTTGGGATACGGATGAGGCACGGGAGTTGATGGTGGCAGATCCTCCCTGCTCCCTGCTTCAGCCCTGTGTCTTGGGTATCGAGGAGGGGGTTTAATGCAGATTTGGCTTTGTGATGCCCATTTCCCAGGATGTGGGTTGTGTTAGACCCCCATCCTGTGCTGGTGTGGGGCCGGAGGGGGCTGGAACCCAGAAATCAGCATTTTTACACCCTTTCCCTCCTGTATTATTTTTTTTTTTCTCCCCGCGTCTGATCTTTTAATGTTTAAAAAATTATTAATAATAAAATGTATATGTGGTCCAAATACGATGCCCCTTCCTGCCTGCGGGCGGGGGGCGCGGCTTGGAGCGGAGCCGGGGCCGTGGCTGGGTGGGGGTGCGGCCAAGGTGGGCGGGGGCGGGGTGGGGGCGCGACAGTGGGTGACACTGTCGGGGCCAGGACAGTGGGTGACACTGTCG